CATGTGCCAAGCATATGCAAAGCATCTGCTTACTGAAGTGTGACATGTCCAGTATAAGTCTAGTCAAAAGTCCTGCATGTGGCAAGCAGATGCTTGAAACTATTGTTGCATATTCCCACAACACGTGCAAATGTAAGACACAGCTTGCTTGGGCAACAATTAAAGCTCAAGGTCTTCAGCTTGTTGAAGGGAAGCACTATGCTAGAGCTTTTGTACCAACAATCACGTGGAACTGGAACGTGTTGGGTGGGTCCACAATATGCTCGACACATTTTAGGAAGCCCAACATTGGCCACACACACGCACGAACCAAGCCAAATAAATGAGGCTAGAAGGGTTGCCACTCTCTCAGCAACCGGGCCACACATAATTTGCCATGTAACAATGAATAAGCTTGCAGTCCGTCGCGAGGCAGAAAGGCTTCACTCCCCTCAACCCTCTCTTTTGGACGAGTTGCTGAAGCATCATGGCTGATTTGGAAAATCATGAAGAGCCTGGGCCACAGGCATTGTGCTGCCAGGAATCGGAAGCCGTGTTCCCATCATGATGTATCCAGGCACCGCTGAGATCAGTGCGGCGTGCTCTCTTTTTCTTTAGAACCCCCTCCCACGCCCCCATATCCAGCAGGGCTTTTCCATGGCTCATGTGGCGACTGACAGAGAGCAACAAGACTATCCGTCAAAACTGAGATCCGCTCCAAATGACTGATTCCTTTCGGTTTCCCTCAAAGCATCAGGACAAAAGACTGCAGTTGTCACTTCAACACGTTCGCACACGAGTAGTTTCTTTGCTCAAGAGGCACAAGAGGCCCTGCGAATCGCTTGCTCCTGTCACCAGGCTAAACACCTGCGAAACCTGCGTAGATATGTAGGAGGCAGAGTGAAGCGAGAAGGAACTAATTCCACAATATGCGTCAGCCTGCCAGACATGCCAAATCCGTTCCGTTCCAAGTACTGCGCAGTAGTTTGTCAAATATCCAAGCTATCAGTCATGACTCTGCGAATTTGTTTCATCACAGTTCTGCCTGATTTGCCCTTTCTCGGGCATTCCCATGTGCTGCAAGCAGCCTCCAAACACCTGGCATCTATAACATTTGACATGATGCTCACCTCGCATGCGGAATTTGCCGGCATTCAAATTGATGATCTCATCCAACAATGTTGCTCAAAGTAGCCAAGCTTTGCCCGTCTCCAAATGGTTCGCCTGACCAGGTGCAGGCGCTGCCACCCGCGGGTAGTCTAAGCAGTGCTTGGAGGCCCGAGGCAGTTTGCCCAAGGCAACAAATGCTCTGGGCCCGTGGCGAAAAAGTGATGATCATGAGCAAAAGTCCAGCAATCCTCAGATCTTGCTAGCTTGACAATAATCGGGCCACAGCCAGCAATGCTCCTGATACGTGCTTTCATTTGCCTTGGAAAGAATGTCCTCGAAATAGGGACCATGCCCATGGTCGCTCACTGTTTCACTCACAAGACAGGGTCGCCACATTTCGCCTGGAAAGCTCATGCTTGAAGTCAATCCGTTTGCCAGGAGGCAGAGTTGGAACTCGGATGAGATAGCTGCGTCGCGTAGCCTCTGGGCTTGTAAAGTCTGGCTATTGCCATGCAGGCGCGTTGCTTGGCACCACTCCCAAGAAAACAGAAAGATACCTCCTGAGTGGCTTCTTGTGGTTGTCTGGGCTTTGCAGATTGCGTTTCTTGTTTCTTGGACAGTTCCACACTTTTTTGGGTCAGCCTCAGAAAATGTGTGACCGTCCCAAAAACGACAATTCTGACAAGCCCAGACCCAAAAAAGCGCGAGACTGTCCCAAAAAGAACGAACAAAAACACAATCCTGCAGACTCGTCTATCTAAATTCCAATGCAATCAAAGGAAAGCATCTTTGAAATATATTATGTTGAAGTAAGAATGATGTGCAAAATCTAATCTTACTAATCCAATTCCTTTCTTTCCAGAAGCCTATTTAAGTTATAATTGAAGCTGGAGACTATGCTAATGGAAATAAGAATTCTAATTTAAAACTAGATGAACTCCTCTTCAAATAGGACATCGTACTGAAATTTAAATTGAAACTAGAGATTTGAGAAGAGTTCTGTCCTTCTGCATTCCTATTGATTTATACTCAGATTAAAAGATTGAAAAGTCCGCATTGGAATGTTAAAACTCTAATTTGAAAATTGAAGTCCCCTTTCAAAAATAAACCCTATCCAAATTCAAATTGAAACTAGAATGTGTCCATTCTAACTTGAATCAGACATTCTACTCGAATTCGTTCCTTGGCAAATGCTATTGAAATTGTCATGATTTAAAATCTAGTTGAAGCCATATTTAACAAGGAAATGCGTTGCCTTCTTCAAATATATTCAAATTCTGACTAAAGGATCGAAAAGATTATCCTGGGAGAGGAGATCACCTTAAGAATCTATTCTGAAATCATAGTTCTGATTAAAACCTAACTGTAATCCGCTTAAAAAAGGAAATTGCAAAGGCTCAGAATTGTTGATTGGATGCAATATTGTTCAAGCAGAGTTGCCAAATGATTCAAATCAGTTTGATAGGCGGTGGTTTTGGATGCAACTGATGTGGAACTAAGTTGACGTGCAAGTATCATTGGAAATGATTGCCTTGCAGAAAACCTGCCAGGTGCCACCCTCGAAGAAAATCAGGCCTACAATCCACTGCAAGAACATTCCCAAAGGCCAGGATTAGAGTAAAAAAAACATTGCCCTTGGCAAGACACGGTATCCGCAGTTTTCTGCTGCGAGCCTTTTGGCAAATTTCTCTAGACCTTACTAAGAGTGAGTCTTCAAGGGCTGATATGCAGGCTGACTTTGGCTGGGCTTGAAACTCGTCCTTGGTGTCCACCAAAAATCCTAAAGGCGCGCCTCGTGCTGCGCTCGCTCCAGCTGCACCACCAGCAGCCGCATCCGCTCCAAGGGATCCGGGCCTGCGACCGCCCGCGTTGGATCTCGCTTGGGGACCTCGAGCCCTCGTTTGACTCTCGCAGAGGTCCTGTTTCAACCCTCTCGTCTTTTGGGCCCAGGAATCAACGTGAAATGCAGAGGGGCCTAGACAAAACGGGGCCCCGTCCCTTGGTGTTGCGTGAAAGGATGACCAAACCGGGCGCATTTTTTGGGATCACCGATCTTCTGATCGATTTTCCGATGGGAGAAGAACCTGGAGTCATGACCCTGCAACAAAAAGGGGGTGGGGGCGCTGCCCAGAATCGGGACATTGTCCCACTTTCAAGGGACATGGAGACTCCATGACCCATACAAGAGCATCAGTTGGTTTCTATGTATATGTATACATATATATATATATATACGTTGTCACTGTAGAAACATGTGTTAAATCTCTTGCAACATGCTCAAGAACCTCTGCTTTGGTATTACAAGACCAGACATTCTGCGCGCCCGAAGCTCTGATAAGCCACGGTCGATGATGCACTGGTCGTGGGAAATTCTAAATGAACGGTGGTTCCAGTCGATGTCCCCAATCCCAAAAGGATGCTGATCGAAATCTTAAATTTGCGCTGGTTTACGATGAACATCAGCGCGGTTTGTGTCCCGGTGCCCTTGTTCTCCACCAAAATGAAAGAAACGTGTCGATGGGAAGGGCTTGTTGCACATCTTCTCACGGCAGATTCCACTGAAGCCAGTCTTTGCAGGGGCTTGGTCACGGTCCTCTCACAAGAAAGCAGGTTCATTCACTAAACAGGCAGAACCCCAAACAGTGGCGGCGTTTTCGGAGACATGGAATTGTTTTGGACAACGTGGTGACTACGACCTGTTTGAATAAGAGGTCACAATAGGCAACAGGAATAGGGATCACCAAACCAACCTCTCTCTTCCATCCAGCAAGGGCTGCCGAAAACTCGCATTGTGCTGATGGCCGATCACCAAGATGGGCATTCAAACATCGCCCGAACAGCATCTTGTCCATTCTGCAAATTCCACATGTGGAGACCATAATTTCCTGTGGAAGATAGTGTGCAACTGCAGCCAGCCTAGGTAGACAGACCTTCGGGACTCGCAGAACGGCAGTCCTGTCAGGGTGGTGCAATGCTGAGGAATTATCAATGTTGGAGTTTCCTGAAGTCTTACAAACTGGCTTGCTTTGTATATTGGCATGTGCATGCTTTTTGCAGATGTTTGTGATTCGCATCAAACCCTCATTGAGCACTGGGTGCATTCAGGTCAGGATATGTGCAGGGCGCGTTTTGCCTGGGCCACTTTGCCATAAACAACCGGTGGTGCACAATGGTGTTGGGTGAGTATCGCCTGCAGAGCTTGATAGTGGTAGGGCTTAGAAAACAGGGCAATAGAAAAGCAGGTGCAACTAGTGGAAGGTTGTTGGAGGTGAATGCTGGTGCGTTCTGGTGAGTGCTGTGTGGTGGCTGATTGTCCTGTGCTTGAAACTGATTCTTGGGGAAGAACCCCCCCGCCTCGGACGCTTCCGTTGGTTCCATTGGAGCGAAGGCTGATCCGCTTGCCCACCCGGATCCTCGAGTATTGGCTTTGGCACCCTAGCAAGGTTCAACTTCACAGGTGAGACCAGACGGAACAGCTTTGCAATCTGGACAAGAAGGGCAAACATGGGCAAACCGTTGATACAACTGAAAGCATTTCCCTCCAAGGTTTGGGCCAATGCCGATTTCTGTTGACACACAAACGTACAACCATGCCGTCCCTTGCCGATCAAAGAACGCGTGTGGGTGTGGTCAAGCCACACTTATCAGGCAGAGCCAAGGCAAACATTCAAGCAAGCAAGCCATTGGCGGCCTCCTGTGTCTTTCCCATTCAAATCTGACGCTCAGCCTGGACAGGGTATCCCCAACCGCCCGCCCCCGTTGCTCGTTGTTGACCCCGACCCTTAGGCGGAGGGCGGCGAGGCCGGTGTTCCGGGCGAAGCCGCCGAGACCGGGGTCGGCTCATCCGGATCCGCCAGCGGCTTGGACACCGGGGGCCTACCAAATCGGCTCGTTCCGCCATGAAGCTGGGGTAGCTGTCTGTTGCACTGAGCAAACCGCGCATCCCGGCCCGGCCTGTACCACTCGTGCTGCGCCGTCAGGACCGAGGCTGAAAGTGGCTCCTCTTTCTCCGCAGAGAAGGCGCCTCCGCGGCGCAGCCAAGCTGTCATGCGGATGACGGCAAAGGCACTCTCCCCAAATCTTGCAATAAAACGCTCCTTGTTCTGCAATGGTTTGGGGTGGACCGTCTAACCCTGTTGCAACAAAGAAGGCAACGTCTGGTGCTAGTGGGGTGGATTGCGGAGCATCTGCAGTCCAAGAGACCAATCTGCTTTGCAAATCGGGCGAGTCCTGGCTCCAGCAAGATCATCCCACTTGGCTCATGACAAGAAATACGACACAAAAGCAGCCACTGGTGCCCGTCAAATGGCTCCTTTCTCCGCAATCTCCGTGTCGCAGCATCCATAGTTGCACTGACAGCTAGGCAGCATGGCAAAGCCTTAGCACGGAGAACAAAGAATGCCTAGTCCAAAAATCGGCAATGCCTGGAAATGGCAAGCCAAGTTTGACCGGAGTGCTTTCCAAACAGTCTCGGGCACTTGAAACCTGGCCCTACATCAGGATCAGCGAATTGATAGCGAGCAACTCAAACAGGAAGCCATTGCTTAATCGCTTGCTCTTTTCTTTCCAAGGCGCAACTTGGTCGCCCAAAGCACAAGAGCAGCTTCTATCTAGCAGCATGCAAGCGCAGCTCGCACGCAAATCTGCTTGTACCTTTGCTAATATGTCCACTCTCCGATTTGCCATTGGGAGAAAGCTTGTGTGCAGTGTTTTGACTCTTGGTGTGGGGCCTATCTGCCTCTTGAAAGCCCGAGTCCCGTAGCCACACCACATTTGGCCCTTCAGCTCATGGAAAGCTGGAACACTGGAATCCCTCTCATCTGATAGCTAGAAATTCTGGAGCCAGCTGCAGTGACCAGCCTTGTCTGCCTGTTTGGACCCGGATGAATCGACCCGGCGATTCATTAGGTGGGTGTTCCCCGCCTCAAAATGAAAATAGCAATGGAAGGATCACCTCTAAACAGGGGAGGCCCCATGTTAGTCAAGCAGCGCGTGCAGGGGGTGATTGTAACGCGGGCTCCCATCAAAAAGAAACTTGGACCCCTTCGAAGGACAATGTCCATGCCCTTGGGACCCTGGGAGGAGCCACATCCCTCGCTCAAGAATGTGCCAGGCGCAGGCACTAAATTTGTCGCGCCAACCGGCTCCCAGACTGCGTACTCTACCTGGCCAGCTTTGATCACCGTGCATACTCGATGCTAGTTGCCAGTCCACCTCCTTTTGCTCTTCTTTCTACTCTAAGTCAAATGGATGGGCTTTGCTGAGGTTGGACTGGAATGCTAGGCTAACTTGATCCGGGTCGGGTTGGACACCCGCCTGGGCTTCGCGCGGCGCAGCGCTCACTTCTCTACGGTAGTCTTCTCGAGTCTGTCCGCTCGCTTGAGGATGTCCTGCGCAGGGCCGAAATGCCACCGAAGTTGTCATTCTCCCGCTGGACTCGCAGCTGTCTCTGTGATTGCTCCAGGCAACCCCTGAGAAACCCGGTGCTCACATACACGAGCGGTGGCACTCGACAAAGCATCAAAATAGCTTCAACATGTTTGACCAGCGGAATTGAGCTTGGGCTTTTTCTTACTAAAACAGTGTTGAAGGTCAGCGATCGCCTTCGGATAGTTTTCTCAAAGCCTTCCTGCCAGCTTTCGAGACTAAAACCGGATGGCCTGAAACTTCAGGATGTCTTCCAGGAAGACATCAGCATGTGGTCGCTGCGGCTTCTGCGCGTTGATGTGAACCTCACACTATGCGACTATGGCATTGAGTCCGACCAACAAAGTGCCACACCTATTTGACTTGCTGGAAAGCAAGCCTTGGTAGTCACTCTTTGCCATAGCATTGGCTGGAAAGCGAGAACGTGGACTTCAAGCCAGCATTACAGACAGTACTCGAGACTGCCGCGCCTCATAAAGAATCTTGCGAGCATAGTCAAGATGGGCATCAAGGGGCCAGATTGAACGACTGAGATCACGAGCAGCACATGATAGGCTACAAACTCTCATGGAGCGCACGCTCTCCCGATTATTCCTTGTTGATTCCCATGAGAGCATCAAGTTGTTGACCAGCCTAAGGCTTGGGACCCATGGCTCGTATTTGGCCCTGACCCCACGGCGGGGCCCCGCGCCATGTCTCCGTCCAGGTAGAACTCCACTTCCCCGCAGGGCTGGAGGGCCTCACAACTTGTGGTTTGAGCCTGCTCGTTTTGACGCAACTTGTTTGACACAGCGTCTACGTGGGGGGTTCATGTCCAAAGCTATGTTGGAGAGTGTTCCCCTCATTCGGCGGCATCAAAACGAGTTGGGCTCCTGAACGGGTCATGTACTTGTGGTCCACTCAATAGGAAGCGTCACAACCAACCCTGCTGCAAACCTTCAGTTACACATATTGACTTGCTGGTAGATATGTACTTGTCTCAAAATCCTCGTTGGAAGCGTGACCATCCACACTCAGCCCGAAAAACCAGGTGTCACTCATGGACTAAGGCAAACACGCCATCCAAGGGCGTGCCCTCCTTCTGGTGCACCAGCTGCCGAGTCTTGTGCATCACCTGCCGACGCAGTCCGAAAGCCTGTATTCCTACCGCGACTTGTTTCATACAAGTTGTGAACGATGACTTGTCGGAAATCACAACTTCGGCGGGAAGGTTTCCCACTGTTTGCCATACCCTCCAGTCCGGCACAAATCCAAGCATGAGCTTGAGAATACGCCCCTAAGCGAATGAAACTGGAAAGCGAGCAACCGCTTCTTCACCACGTTGCATCTCAACACCCAATTTACCAACTGGTTTAGCATTGGTTTAGGGAAGGTGATGGCCAGAACCTGCTGTCCCTTTCCCCAGCTTTCAGCCAACCAGTCGCACCTTCCACCTGAGGCTCCTGCGCACATTAGCTGGTCCCTCAAGCCCTCACCATCCATCTCGCAGAGCTGCGCAAGCCTCAGACCCATCTTGCCGACGGAAAGCTTGCGATAAGAAGACTTGCCAAATGAAGTGGAGATCATAACAAGACTTGCCAAAGGCGCCGCCAATCCATGACAACAAAGGCGGACGAATTGCAGTTCCTGCTCCTCAAAATGCCTTTTCACCCATGTGCAATAGCACCATGCGCCAAAAGCCCGCCCACGCCCCGGGATTCTCAGAACCGTCTTGATATCTCCCGACGAGCTTTCGGCGCAAAGCTTCTATTGAAACGGCTCAAGCTGCCTGCAATGGGATCTGCTTTGTCTTCGACGATTCTCAAACTATACATGAGCAAGATCCAGCCCTGCCGCAATTTCTAGGGCCTGTTGAGCACTGGCATGCTACATTCCATCTTGATCTTCAACTCGATGGGGCCATGTTCCAATCGCCTAGATCAGTAGCTTGGCTTGTGCGGGCTTTGGAATTGTCAATGGATTCTGGTCCTTGCAGTCGCCGCTTCATCAGGCTGATTGAATGGCTCACCATGGCCCTCGGCCTGGTGCCAGTTGCTGTCCTCTCCCCGCGCCCGGGTCGAAGTTCTCAGTGTCGTCATCGAACTCGAATGCGTCGTCGCATGAGTTCGCTTCCTCCGTGCTACGGGCACCATGATCTGCGAAGTCGTAAACGGTCCTCGACCCAGTCCCTATCCGCGGTTCCGGCGGGGCGGGGCGGGGCGGGGGGGGGGGCTGCGGCACGGCAATGCGCCCCACCGCGCTACCAATGAGGGTGAAGGAGACTGGACCTAGAGGTGAAGGAGCCTGGACCTAGACGTTCCCTAAGCTGCAAGGCCTGTTCTCCGCCCGAGAACCCACGCAGAGACTATGCCAAGACAAATCTGCGCAATCTCAAACAACATGTGTTGGCATGTTGGCCTCAAAAAAAGAGGGGGCAACGTCCGAGGTAACTGCTTGGAGGTCTGCAGGGAGGTGTAGAGCTTCATGTAGGACCCGATGGTGGGCAGCGCCTGTTGCTGCCGCACCTGGCGCGGTCAGGTCCCATTCACAACGCATTTCCTTTTGCAAGCGAAGCACGCATTTCACTGACCCTTGGAACCACAAGTGGCTGCAATCTGGAATTGGGAGTAGAGGCCAGCACTCTAAGGGAAACAGTCAATGTTGCTTAACCAGCACATCCGTGTACTCCGAGTAGTTCCTGCGGCCTGCAAGTCTTGCTGGCCTCAGTGGCCCTCATTGGAATCCATGGCAGGCAGGGTTAGGCCATGATCGATGCTCTGGTGCCCGAGTCGGCAAGCCGTATCATATGCAGCTCCAAAACTTTGGTGCCGCTATTCCCATATGTGTTGGTTGCCAATGGCGATTCCTAGATGAGGCCCGGTCGAAATTACATATCTGCGGCCGGTTCGCTACTCAGTTTGAGAGTCCCCTATCGTTTTTCAGCGTTTCGTGCTTTCTGACACTGCTCATTCTACTGCGGGAATAGGTCAAAGGGAGCAGAAAGGTAGGGAGGAATGGAAGAAGGGAAGAGAAGTTTGCAACAAAGGTTGAAAAAAAAAGGAAGGAAAGGAAGGAAAGGAAGGAAAGGAAGGAAGGAAGACATGAGAGCAAGTAGATGGAGGAAAGGAAAGGAGGAAAGAGAAAAAGCAAGAAAGCAAGCAGGCAAAGAAGGGAGGAAGTGAAGAAGGGGGAGAGGGAGGGAAGGTAGAAAGGGAGGGAGGAAGCGGAAAATGGAAAAGGAGGAAGCGAGGAAGGGAGGAAGGGGAGGAAGGGAGGAAGGGAGGAAGGGAGGAAGGGGAGGAAGGGGAGGAAGGGGAGGAAGGGGAGGAAGGGGAGGAAGGGGAGGAAGGGAGGAAGACAGGAAGGGAGAAGCTGCCTGCCTGCCTGGCTTGCTTTCTGCCTTGCCTGCTTGCCTTGCTTGCTTGCCTGCTGGCTGGCTGGCTTCCTCGCTTCTTTGCTTCCTTGCTTCCTTGCTTCCTTGCTTCCTTGCTTCCTTGCTTCCTTGCTTCCTTGCTTCCCTTGCTTTCTTGCTTCCTTGCTTCCTTGCTTCCTTGCTTCCTTGCTTCCTTGCTTCCTTGCTTCCTTGCTTCCTTGCTTCCTTGCTTCCTTGCTTGCTTGCTTGCTTGCTTCCTTGCTTCCTTGCTTCCTTGCTTCCTTGCTTCCTTGCTTCCTTGCTTTCTTCCTTGCTTCCTTCCTTCCCTCCTTCCTCCCTTCCTTGATTGCTCCGTTCGTTCTTTACTGCTTCCTCCTGTATTTTCTGTGAAGGCAGGCAGGCAGGCAGGCAGGCAGGCAGGCAGGCAGGCAGGCAGGCAGGCAGGCAGGCAGGCAGGCAGGCAGGCAGGCAGGCAGGCGGCAGGAAGGCAAAGGCGGGAAGGCAGGAAAGGAAGACAGGAAGGCAGGAAGGTAGGAAGGCAAGAAGCCGGAAGAAGAAGGCAGAAAGGAGCAGGCGGAAGAGGAGGGCGGAAGAGGGGGGCAGAAAGGCGGAAGAAGAAGGGTGGAAGGCAGGAAGGCAGGAAGGAAGGCCATATTCTGGGTGTGTCAAAATCGGCAAAAATGGGCGTGTTTCCCTTTTGGTTCCCCTAAACCGACCTGAAAAGGGTACCTTTAAATCATTTTAAGTCCCTTTGCGTACAACGCCGCTTAAATCCACCTGCCTCCTGCAGGAAGAGGTGAAGCTGCCTCTGGTGGGCTTCGTTCGCGTTGAAGTTCTCGAGATCTCAGGCACACATCTCATGCCCGCTGAGGACAAATGAACCCCAAACCAGTCAGGGGTGGTTCTAAACACCAACATCTGAGAAGTATCCATCACTTCTGCGTCCCAAGATGTCATTACACGGATTGCTCGCTGGTAATGCCCGTGTTCATGCACGCCAAGTCAACGGCTGTCGAGGTCGGGCATCGCCGCCGCCACGAACTTTGGGCAGGCATAAGAAAACTGGTCCTACCAGGTGCAAAGTGCACGCATGAGATACGGCCAGTGATCTGCCCCCCAAATTGAGGCCAGCTCTGGAGTTGTATCCCTCAACAGCAATGCCGAAGAGCACCACTGGACATCTATCCCGGTACCGCGGTCCCGCACCAGTTTTCCAAAAAGGAACCGGGGCATCACAAAACTACAAACCCCTCTTCTTGTTGATTTCATGCTAGCTTCCATTGAATGGTCCCAGTGACATAGACCCAAGTGGTCTCTAAGCAAACACCATCGAATGGTCCTCGAAGCAGGTCTCGACACCCTGCTGCAGCCGCATCTGCTTGTCTGGCGAGCACTGCAACTCGTTCTCAAGAGTCTTTCCAAAATGTGGAAATGGAGACCTGCATGTGCCCAGCACAATGCCCTTTGCACACAGATGATTCACAAAACAAGCAAAATGTTTTGACAAACAAACAAACAAACAAACAAACAAACCAAGAAAAACGACGAAACAAACGGACGGACGAACGGACGGACAGACGGACAAACGCAAGCAAGCGAGCAAGCGAGCAAGCGAGCAAAGATCGGCACGTCTCAGGCGCACCTAAATGCTTCTCACGGATGGGCTTCTCCAGGGACTCGTCCATGGGTTGCGGGCAAAGAGCGTTGCAAATCAACAGCAGCACGTACATCTGATCCTGCGTGGCTGCCGCTGGCCAAAAACCTGGTTGACCGTCCGATGAGGTCTTCTCCTACGACCAAACACTTGATAATCAACGCGTTAAGCATGGAACCCTTGCACATGGAGTTGTTGAAGGCAAGCAACCTAACGGTCCCTAGGCCTGACGCCTACCAGTACACTCTCCCAGGTGTGGAAACGATGTGTCCTGCTTCTTCAGCATCTGGTCGTACTGGTAGGAAAGCGAGTTCACGGACGAGATTTTGGACAGGAAAACCAGAATGTCTTGAAAGGTTCGGGAGGCGTCTACGTATCTCCTCATCATCATGTACCTGTGGTGGAACAAAAAAGCAGTCCGACAAAGGAGCCCCAAACTACGTCGCTGGCTTGCAGTGCTGCAGCATCTCCCCATGCGGAATCTACCAAGTTCTTCCAGCCACAAATATCTCTGAAAATCTCCGCAAAATCTTCACACAAGCCCTCTTTCTGAGAGCTCTGAACAAACTTTCTCCCAACCACTCCAAGAGAGCTGCATAGGATCTCTGTGTCGGGAGAAGCCCCTTGCGCGGCCGCTTCAAAGGATCTCTGCACGGTCCATTCACAATAAGTCTGCAATGCATCCCTGCAGCGCCTGGCAAAGCAATGTTCCTGCATCTCCGCATGGATTTATTTTCACAGGACCCCGGCAAATTGTCTGTCAAATCTCTGAACATTTGAACAAGTTCTTTTTGCAAGGGTCTGCCGTGCAAGTGCAAGGTTTATGTGCAAAATACTCTTCGATGCTCATGCTTCGCACGGGAGAACCACGAAAAGTGATGTACTATTTCTGTGCGAAATTCGCCCCGCGTAAAAACGAGAGCAATCCAACACGATCAAAGTAAGTATAAGGTTCGCTTTCAATGTTTCAAAGTTGCACCACGTCACAGCGAAAGCGATCCCATGCACCCCCCAAGTTCGCAAATATTTCGAGTTGGACACTCGAAATAGCACCCTCGCAGAGCAACGAACAATCCAGCCCGCCCAAAGTCTGCAAAAAGTGCACAAATCCAGCATTTGTCAAATTCACACGGCACCACAGCAAGAGCGCATTTCCGAAACAGCAGCGTCAGAAACTTCACAGTGCTCTGCGCAGTAAAATGCAAATGCAGAATTTGGGGAATGCGCGTTCGTCGGAAGGAAACCCAATCGAGTGCAGACACGTTTATCTCGTAGTTCAGTGGAGCACAGTTTTGGGAAAAACGATCACGCGAAACCCGCGGGCACGCGAAGCCCATGTAGTAGAAGACCGTCACGTGGCATGCTGGGATGCGGTAGAAGAGAGGGACCTCCAGTGGTTCATGAGCCATACAAATCTCAAGTGCCATAAACACAGCTGGTGTTCTCTCAAAATGTGCGCCCTCCCAAACCCTTTCCTTTAGGGTGTCAATCCTTAAATCCGTCCCAAACACGATCGACCCTTTTGACCGATTGATTGGGTCCAATTCTGTCAAACTGCATTCGCGGGGAAGAAAACAGCTCATACCTGCGAACCAAACTGGAATTCCAGCCTCTGCTCTGAAGTCGATGCTCTCAATGGTATCCTTGCAGGCGCAAGAAATGATTCAGGCCTTCGACCTGAGCCCAACGCATGTCCTGAATTGCTCAATCTGGGCGAGGGGTACGTGTTTGGGGCTGTTCTAGAGCAAACCGGAAACCAGCATCACCGGAATCACCCTTCTCCATTTCCCACCCACCCCGCGGGCCCTCCCTGCCCTTGCCCGTCCATGGCCAGGCGGTAGTCTCCCAGCAGGCTGTGCATTCGCAGCAGCTGCACAAGAGCGAAGTAGCCCACCAGGCGCGTGGACTCATCCTCGATAAAAGCAATGCATCACATTGGCCACGCGGGAACTCTTGCCTCCAGTGAAAAGCGGGCCAAGGGGTCCAACAGGTTTTGACTCGGACCTGAGACCTCTGAGCCGGCCGCTGTGAAGGCTCCGCCTGGCCACGGGTGAAAGACAGGGCCTCGAAAGAGAGAATGCACATGGAGAGTCTTCGGTTGCTTAGGTGCAACGAGAATCTCGACCCAAAGTTTACCCCATCTCCAAAGCAACCCGAAGGTCCCGCACGCTGGCCTTCCAGAGATTTCGGCGGGCATCGTGTTTCTTACAAACCTTGGATATCCTCAAGCAAGGAAAGCGGGGAAAGGCGATTCCTTTTTGAAACCTGCTTTGCCCGTCCGAATCATTTATGACAGCGTGCCTAGAGGCTTCTCTGAAAGGAATTGAATGTGATTTTGTGGTTGTGTCCTGAAATTAAAGGAATGAAATTAAAGGACACCAACAATTTCGAAAGTCCTGAGTTCGGCAAATAACCACGCGTCAAACTCGTTGGACCTTTCAATATACTTGCCCCGCTTCGGGCTTCTCTTCTGTGGCATTCTGCATAGAATGGCCACAGTTTAACCCATCCCTTCTTTGAACGGCGTAACATCTCAAACTCCGGCAGTTCAAAGAAGCTCCCGTGTCCCGCCTTGGCCGTTGCCGCCTTCCGGGTTGGCGAGCCACTCCTCGATCAAGGAGAAGCGCACCAGCTGGTGCAGGTAGCTGAGAACCTGTGCATCGCTGATACCAAAGTGGCCAATCCCCAACACTTTATCACTTTGAAGGGGGGTCCCTTGGTATCTCCAAAAACCGATTTTCCATAACCCTGGACCTGTGCCCCTTGGAAGGCAGCCTGAATTATCTGGTTGCTAGTAAACGACGATGCAGCTTCATTCAGCAACTGCATGAGCCAAGGGAAAGTGTTCAAAGCATTTCAAGCACACTATGGTTAAGCCATAGCTAAATGTTGCTCACCAGGCTCAATAGCGGGAACAAATGAAGCGCTCTGAATTGTGCTCTCCCCAAACTTTGGGCCCTCTGGAGAAGCCAAGTCTGTCGAAATTGATCTCCGGGCCAAGTCCAGACTCTCAAAGCATTCGCTGGCACGTCAAGCAAAAAAATGCCCTCTCCTCATCTCCGAAATTCGGACTTCACAAGGTGGCCCCCGGAAAAGGACCCATTCAATCCAAATCAGGGAGTAAGCATCCGCATTGCCTAGTTGCAAAGGCGCAAGACTTGCAGAAACACCACACGGACCACAGCCTTTCCATTTCTTCCTCTTCCCCTCGCCCGACCCGCACCTTGGTGGTCTCAAAGACTCCTGGCCTACTGCGCAGCTCGTCAATGTCCTTGTCCTAGTGGGGCTACACTCATCTCGGTTCACGTTTTTTGAGGCTCCCTTTCTTGGGGAAATGTTGAGAAGTGGTAGCCAAGAATCAAAAGAATCTAATAACTTAAAAGATGCACATCCGTGAAAGCTGGCTGGGGTCCGTGGAAGACAATTTCCAGCTTTTGAGGTTGTTGAAAAGAGCCGAAAAGGACAAACACAAAAAAATAAGGCGTTCCGATGGACAGCATCCCTCGAGACGGTTCTTGGGCAAGCTTGCAAATGGTGGCCTTGAGTCCATTCTAAAGAAAGAGACTTGGCTCACATGGAAATTCCCTTCGAGCATTTGCCTGCCGACCTCTCCAGTTCCCGGTTCGCAAGAGGATGCTTGCCCCAAAATACAAACTGGATCGCCCGTGAGCAGTAGCCCTGGCTGAATCCTCACAGACCCAACACATGTCCATCTCACAGGTCTCACCGGCTTGCTTTTGAAAGTAAGCCATGCCAACACCTTCTCGGCTGGCCTCCATGCCGGGCATCTGATCAATTGAAGCTACAGATTTGGACCCAGCCTTCTGCATCTTCGCTGTCTTGTGGCAATACGTGCTGTAGGTCCTAGGAATCGTGTCTGGACGCTTGGCTGAGTGAGACCGAACAACAAGCGGGGATATCCAACAGTAGAGTCATTCACGGTCAAATTGACTTTTCCCACCAAGGAGGACGTGGGAAAAGTAATGAGCTCCCTGATGTCCCTCTTAAACGGACCATAGTCAAAGAAAGCTCTGCAAACTTAGGACGTCTCTGGTAGTGGTAGACAAACTCATCGAGAATGTCCCACAACCATTGTGCCGGCAGGGCGATGCCGAGATCCTCAGACAAGGCTGCTGTGCTCCAGCGGCATGGTGCCAGCTTCCACCAGTGCAAAAGCGGTGTCTGTGGGTGTGCATCAGTCAACCCAAAGCGTCTGAAGCAAATGATGAGGGACGCTTGATGTTCCGCAGGACATGCAGCTTGCAAACTTCCTGTCTTATCCCGCGGCCTCTCCATCCGAGAGGTTCTCAATCATCAAGTCCAGCAGCTGCTTGTAGTTGTTCCAGGACCCTACACGGTCCTGCTCATCAAACTCATCAAACTCAGACTTCAAACGCAATCGCAAAAAGTTGGAAGCCTTGACGGCACCAACCGCAACTCGCTAGGCTCAAACTCTCACTTCAACCTCCACAAAACCCACCCACCAGCGCACAGATCTCAGTCCTCGAAGGAGACCGGATTGAGCCTCGCATAGATATGCCTCGCCGAGCGTGTGTACGAGAGCATGCAATGTAATCGTCAAATGAAAACAGACGGCAGCAAGCCAGTTTGATCCTGCAAAGTTATCATGTTGGGATGACAGGGTCCTGGGACTACTGCGATTGGTAGTTGATTTACTCCAATTTCTCGCAAACAAGATTGGGCAACGACACTTTTTTATGAAACCGAATATGTTGCCATGCCCCACCAGGACTGGCTCTGCTGCGAACACCGCATGAGTGCCACGTGGGCAGAAAGTCAAGGATAGTTGTGGTGCAGCCCTCAGGGCATGTACCCCAATAACTGCGAGCTCCCTACCGCCGGAATCATGAAATGACCACTTATACAGTTTGGAGCCCTCAGGGCAAATGGCCAGAAATACACCGCAGTGGAGCTATGACCCGTCTGAACCAGCTCAATCCACTGGCAGAATTAGCTCCGTGCCTGTAGTAGAGCTCCTCACGACAGAACTGCTGTCTTTGTACATGCGAGTTGCCTTTCCCTCTTCCCAAATACTTTCCATCGCACTGGCTACCCAAATTGTCTAGACTGCACCTGTCGTGGTTCGAATCCGCGTGGTGGCCATGCACACAAAGCAGTGCGAATGAACAAATGGCAGGTGCTCCTCAAGAATTCCCAGAGGCCGTCGCAGAGTGTCTCAAGGTGTTTGCGGGGCCATCCAAATGGTGGTAATGCTTCTTGGGCATCCTTTCGTAAGAGCCACGAGCCAGGAAGGGAGTGGACATGGCTCCACCGAGTCCTTGTACAGGATCAGGAACAACTCCTGTTCATGCCCCAGAGTCTCGCCCACGGTAAAGGCGCTGGGCCACTTCCTGCAACTTGCTCAAATCTCAGCTCTCTGGTGGGGGCTGTTGTGGATGCTCTTGTGGATGTGCCCGTTAAGCGCGGAAAGAGTGTGACAATTAGGTGGACCACCATAGCATGGTTTGATCTAAAGAAATCCTGCACAGTTCGACGCGCCCATATTCCTAAGAATCAAGCCTCGAGCCAGCCATGTGCTCTGGTTGGTATCCTTTTGATGGGTGGCGAACGAATTGGAATGAGGGGGGTCGCTCTCGCCACACATGCAGCCAAGCGTCGTCTTGTTATAGAACCTTTCAGTCAGCTGATTGAAATCGGTCTCCTTAGCTGCGGTGCGCTTTTGCAACCCAATGAGTCCCAATAAGCCCCAAGCCCTATGGAGTTCTCCTATCAGAAGCAACAGTTGGGACCTTCGGGACCGTGCACTGCAATCCCTCGGTTGACTTGCGTGGCTGAAAAGTCTGCCAGCTGCCCGAAATCCTCTTGCGCTCGAGCCTGGCACAAAGTAACTTGCCAAGTCTCGTAGAGCCGGTTGATCTCCTGAATGTTGCTGGCCCTCGGGTGCACAGTAGAAAACTCCATGCGTTTACGGCATCTTGTTCCCTGCCATTTCGACCACACCCACCATAATGTTGCCAAACGGGTAGAGCAGTCAGCGACACAATTCACTCTGATTATCTCCACCCGCCAAGAGCCAGCAAAAGACTCATACAATTTCACCGTCTGCCATCTTGTGCGCCCTGTCTAACGCTACAAACATCTGTTGGCGGTCGGGTGCCACCAAAATTGAGGGCCTGCAAGCTCTTTTGTTTCCGTCCGCAGCACCGCCTTGTGTTGAGCAAGAGGCCCTCACATTCACCCCCATGCATTCAGTTTCCTGCAGGGCCGGGCGCCCTGCTTGATAGACTCCAGCAGACCTTAGAGCACGTGCGCCTGGTTTGCACCCTTCACGGTCAATCAAAAGACAAAGGAAAGGACATGAAAAAACGACTATGAAAGGAATCCCCGTTGGTAGCTGCAACATAGCGGTCACAGGCCTATGTGCGGATACTTCAAGCTCCTGACCTTCCTAGAAAACTGGGGAAGATTGGGAAGATCAGCAACTTCATTGCCTGCTTCGCACCTGTGATTGAGTGGCGGGGTGAACATCAACCATTCTAGGCATCAGTAGTCCAAGCGACGGCCCAAAAAGGTGTCCACGGCTTCCGGGATGGCCTGAGTCAACACGCAGAGCAAAAAACTGTTTGTTGACGGCATTCACAAGTGCCCGAAACATTCGTCAAAGATGGCACAATGGTCAGAGCTCACAAAAACGTCACTTAGAGGTTGTGAACCCCCCGGCAACCTAGTCGTTTCACCGTGTTGTTCTCTCAGAAGTGACCAAACATGACGCGAATCATTGCGGAGCTGTGATGGTCACATGCTTTCCTTTAGTTGCGCTGGCCTGCCCTTTTGGCGTACTTTTGGCCGAACCCGAAAGGAGACCAAGCAAACCCATGGACTCTGCCAATGGGCCAGTGCTGCACATTACAACCGGGAGGTCCATTTCACATTTGAGTATGAACTGTATGAACTCTAGTCAGGTCCTCAGGTATTCAGACCTCTAAGCCTAAGGGAATTGATGCAGTAGAGAGACGGCTTGAACTCCCGCCTCCGCCTTGCGCTGGCCCTGGGCCTCCTCGTAGTCGCTGCCCTGCGCCCAAAGAAAACCCGTCGATCAAAGGTTTGGGGTCGGCTTCCCGGGAGGGTCTATGTGGCGTGACTTCAAATTCAAAAGAGGCAGTTTTACCCCTGGCCCATAACCTGTAACCCAACTCTGCGAGTCAAGTAAGTCAGAACCAAATCCGCAGCCTGCAATGGTTGGGAACCCTGCGACTCACTTCCGATGAAGGCAAGCAGCTTGAGTCAATTTGGAAGCAGGTGGAAGATGATTTGTGATTAATCCACCCAAGGACTGACCCTTGCCATTGCTAAACATTGCTGAGGATGCTGGACATTGTCATTGATCACTCTAGAAGCCTTGGAGGTAATGTCTAAAATCTTCATTGAACGCAAGTGAACATAATTTGACAATCATCAACCGGGTTCCTGGAACGGAGCAGTGAAGGCGGAAGTTGTGGGCTCCAAATGGCTCCAACAAAATTATGTCCACTGTTGCTGGATTGAGGCGAACGCAAACCAAACAACATCCATGTGTTTGAGTGTTACTTGGGGAAGGGAACCTGCTGCAGATCAAAAATCAACAGTTCGAGATTTGTCTTTTATTCGGGACATGTTTTTGTTGTCACACCCGGTGCTATGATGTAAATTTTAGAGAATTGTCACTGGGATGGTTTAGTGCTGGCTTATGGTGGGGTAGGGCTTGCTTTTCACGGTGGGTTGAGGGTGTTTAGAGAGTTGGTTTCGGCTGTGATTGTGTTTAGGTGGCGGCTTAGGGCACTTTAGGGTAGGTTTTGGGTGGCTTAGGTCTGGTTTTGCGTCGGTTTGGTTTGTTTGGGGGTAGGGTTTGTTCAGGATAGGTTTAGAGTTGATTTACGGATAGTCCATTGCTGGTTCGGAGCGGGTTTGTTTAGGGTGGCCAGGGCGGCTGGGTTGGTTTTGGGTAGGTTTTGGTGCAGGGGTTCGGATTGGCTTTTTTGAGTCACAAAGCGAACAACGGCCCTATAAAGAAGCGTGGGGGGCGGCGTCGGGAGGGGTTTTCACAGCCCCCCGAATTGGAAAACAAGGACTCTAATGGAGAAAGAGTGCGATTGCAAACAAGGTGCTGCTTCTGATGTTGGGGAGGAGGGGCGGGGGGTGCTGGTGATTCTGGGGGTGTTGAGGATGTGGAAAGCCAAAGCCGAAAACTCGCAAAAAGCCACAAAGCCAGCCCAAAGAAAGCAAAAACGAACAGGGGAAGAAAATGATGGCCCTCCATAATCAACCCCTCAAATGATAGAATCCGGAATTGGATCCTCGAATTCTCACCCCACCCCACCCCACACCTCGTCAGCCATGCTGACCTTAGCACAAGCAGGCACAAACCTGCCATCCAATAGGCAGCCTCTTACAGCCATGTTTCTGCTTGGCTCTCCGAACTCGATCTTGCCGCTTTCTTTTGCTTGGGTGCTGTGTGTGCCCTCATCCGCTGGCGATGGAAGGTACGGGCAGAAATCCGGACTAAGCTCGAGTCCTCTTGCCAACAGCTTCTGGAGATCCGTGGCAAAACTTGAGCCAGTGAGCATGGCGACCATACAGCCCGAGACACCCCACAGCAATTAGAAGAACTGGCTGTGTGTCATAGGGAGCAACTGCTCTCTGTGCATGTCCTACGGCAGCAATGCCCTCGCCCGCTTTTTGACGAACCTAGACGAAGCCCAAAGCCATGCAGCCCGCTCGCAGCTCAAACCTGGCTGCCACGGCGGGGAGCTTAGCTCCCGACACAATAGGCATGTATAACGTGAACGCGTCTAGTTAGACCCCTCCACTTGGTTTCATTATGTGTCTTTGAAGTGGGGCCAAAAGGGTACTCATTTTGGAGGAATACTGGGAATGCACAAAATGTGCCCCAAACTTCAACCAAAACCAGCATGAAGCCGCCAAGTTCGGGCCCAAGGGCCTCTGTCTTCACGCGCTCAGGCCCCAGGCTGCACTGGCTTCGTGGCCTACCCGGCCAAGCTCTCAATCCCTCAGCTCTTTGTGTGATTTCGGGGGCCAACGGCTGTCGTGTTCTCGAAAAGGCTGTTGCGGTCATACTGTTGGCTGACCAGCTTCAGGCAATGTTCCAGGCCAAGCCTTCTTTGGATCTCGGCTCGGTTCGCGCACGAAGGGGAGGAAGTCGAGCCCTCCTGACTTCCAAGGCACGTGACTGTCTTACAGGGACCGCTTCTGCTTTGCAACATTGTTTACCTGTGTTCGCTTGAATCCACCGCAGACAGGGACCCTTTGTTGACGTGGGGAACGGCCCGAGTGTATCTGGGAAAAAAGGAATCTTTGCTCCAACTCAGAATCCTTCTGCTGCAGCCAGCCAGCCAAAAAACCAGAATCTTTGGATCGGCAACCAATCTCCATCCACTGCATGCATGCCACACGTGCAAATCTTCAGGCAGTCCCATAAAAGGTACCAACGCAGGCGGCACCCGCACACCTCAGCTCCGTCGAGTGATGTGGCACTGACAACGAAAACCAGTGAAACAATAAACACCAAGGCCAACACCCGTCGGTGTCTGATAGACTTCCTGAGTCAAGGCCACCCATCTGTGCAAAAAAGGTAGTCATACTGGAGGGGCAAGGGCAAGGAAGTGTTGGGAAAAGCAGCGATGTTGCCAGAAAGCCGTAGATGCGTCACAGAAAACTCTGATTCGCGGCAAGCATCCAGCAGGCAGCAAATGCACCTGCCAGCCGCCACGAGCGTGGCATTCAGCATATGTACATGTTGAAGGCGCTTGTCCTCGCAACTCTAAGCTGAGCGAACTTGACATTGGACATGTTGACGGGTTCACTCAACATAAGTTCCACGTCTCACACGCATGCAAGTGATCAAAAAGGCTTTCCGCCACGGGAAACAGCCAGGGATTCATGCACAGACTTTGTTAAACAGTTGAGCCGTTCACTTGCCTGCAGGCCCTCCATTGCCCTTCCCCGGAGTCCACAAAGCTTGACAGATTCGTTCGCAGGCTGGCCACAAAAATCAGAATTCGACATCGATGAGGGTCACTATGAATTCCTTTTCCAAACGCTGAATAGTTCGGCCTTGCGGCGTTGGGTCTTAGCCGTGCATCACAGGTTCATGGCTTCACGCTTCCTTCTTGCATCGGACGTCCAGCGCTCGTGATTGGAAGTCAGTGCAGTTGGAGCAGGAGACCAATTCCCGGTACTGCCCCTGGATCGGAGAAAAAATCAGCTTGCAGGAGCCTGGGAAAAAGTGGCTTTTGGAAAAACGCATTGCTCTCGCACGGCCTGGCCGGCAAACCACCCTTCCAGGTCGAACTTCTTGATGGCCTCAGGCCGAGGAAGTGTGGCACAACAAGAGCAAGAAGCCACCTCCCTCCTTTTTGTCTTAGTTGATCGCCCCTGCAATCGTGAAACAGTGGTGGTGCCGGCAATCCGAGCACTAAGGTTGCAAACTCAAACCTTCACAAAGGGAGGCAACTCCAGTGAGCGTGCTCCCTGCCGGCACCATGCAAACAAGGCATTTCCTTCACGATGCCCGTCCTGAATCTTATGGATGCTATTGGATGGCGGTAATGTCGATGAGTCATAGTATTCCCCGAGTCCCCTCTTGAGAATACTTTGGGCATGGCGCTTGTCCTTGCGAGAAAACACTGACATGTACGCTCTTCCCTGCGAAAGGCGTGAGATCATCTCAGTTGGAGCATTGTCCTGATGTGTCCAACCAAAACTCTTGGCCCCCTTTTTTCCTCAAGGGGGGTGGCGAGGCCGGCTGCGCCCAGGCATTCAAAATGAGCAGAACAAATACCGCCCCCCAGCCTGCAAAAGATAGAGCTGTTCCCAAATTCACAGCCATTTCAACCGCCTTGTCCATACCCCTCTCAAACTGGATCGACAACTGATCTCTTGCAATCAGGGGAGTCGCATCTTGCAAGACCAAAAGGTCTTCCTGCTAAAATGTCATCTGATAACCGCCCTTCCTGGGGTGTTGGTGTCTGTTCTGACCAAGGAACCGCGTCATTCAGCTCCCCAGACACCACATTCACCACACCTTGGCGTGCAGGAATGTACACTGTGTATGGGAGTCATCCCACGTCACATGCTGAATAAGCTCACGTGATATCCCCAACAGCAACATGCCCGTGTGGGTTCGGCAGATGCGGAAAGAACCGCAAACCAGACCACGCCGCAACCTCCAGAACGTTGCTTGAACCTTACACCTGGCCTGCGCCAGACCTTCCTTGAACATCCCCAAATCTCCAGAGCTGCACCAGACCACCCGGAACTCTGAACCGCAGACCTCTAGATCCTTTCTTGAACCTCACGCCCACCCCGGATCCTCCAACCTTCCTTCAAGCTTACACCTGGCCTACCAGACTTTGCTTGAACCTTTCACCTGCTCTGCGCCAGACCACCTGAACCTTCCTTGAACCTTACAACCTCCGGAACCTTCCTTGACCTGCACCAGGCCACCCCGCAACCATTGCTTGAGCCACCTTGAACCGTACACCTGGCCTGCCCAGAACCTGCGGAACCTTCCGTGAACCTTACACCTGGCCTGCACCAGACCATCCCGAAACCTCCCAAACCGTGCCCGAACCTGACTCTAGAGCTCCCCCGAGCCACCCCAAAAATCTGGGCTGAGACCCCTTAGCTATCTTGAAAGTGAAAGGGATGTTGATAACGTTGCTATACAATCTGTATCGTGGCCACCTCTACACCTACACATTCCAACAGAATCTTGAGCGCTCCCCTTGCCGACAGCAAACATGAAGGAGCTCAATTATGCGACATGTGGAAAAGTAGTGAGCCCTTTGGGCTGGTTTTAAACGGAAGCCAATGAAACCAGCTAATTTCCCGATTTGGGAAAATCCTCTACCATGTCTTCATGTCTGCGTCTGTCTCCTCTCATTGCCACGGCTTTTTTGTCCAGAGGGCGGTAAGGTATGCCAAGCGCTTGGTAGAACTCCTCGGCGCAGCGGAGCATCTCCTCGTGCCTGGATCTCAAGACGGAGAAGCTAAAGATGGGGGCGGAACTGGGAACATCCAAGTGGCGCCCTTTGGGTTGACACCGCATGGGTAGAAGTACAGACCCAAACGACTTGTCTGAGCCACCGACATCTTGGTGGACTCCACGAGATCGCCGGCGGTGAGGCAGAATTGCTCCACCTTCTCGAACTGATGCACCCGGAAGATGCCCCGATTCTCCTTGCCCGCCTTCCCGAGCTCCGTCCTCGAGAGAGCAACTGTCGGAAAACATAGGGAGGACGAAAAGCCGTGAAGCACAACCTGAATCGGCACCTTGGAAACTTGACATGTCCTGAAATTCAAAGTGCTCCCTTCACCGAGCTCGTCTTGATCCAGGCCATCTGTCTGATCAGATCCATTCACCCGCCCGCCCCTCCCCCCCGCGCGGTCCGGAAGCAAGTGGACAGGCCCGCATATCGCAGAGGCAGCTGGTCCTCCTCCAGAATCTCCTTCCTAAATTTTGCCGCAGCGTCACCATAAATGTCAAGAGTGCAAGACAGGACTTGTGTCAGACGCGTTGACTCACTCTCTGCAAGCCGCATATCACTGTCAATCAATAAGCTTTCAAGATTCGCGTGCATGGCACATAAGGGCTGCTCAGATGTCGCAATGAGGTACTGGCAGATGCTGGAAAGCAGGGCAGAAACAAGGTACACCACACCCATCGACCGACACTGATTCGGCCAACGAGAATGTGAATCTTGGACGGCGCATTTGTGAAATTCGGACGAAACAAGTGTGGATTTCGGCCGATGTTCGAACGACATCCCACTTTGTTGCGGCCGTCCTTTGCCAGCAACGCATTCCAAGCATCCCGTCCCAACCATCCCGACCATCCCACGGCTGGCATGCCGACAGACCATCCCGAGCATGCCAACCATCCTGACCATCCCAACCGCCCCAAACATCCCGACCATCCCGGCCACCGCGACCACCACCCTCCCAACCGTTGCGCACGCCCTCTGCACGCATCCCCGCAGGTCACAAGCGAAAAAGCCCTCGAGGCTAAAAGCAGGTCATGTGCAGACCAGTGCCATGGCAGCTCTCCTTGTCTCCAGCTTCATCGGCACCGTCTCCTGGCGAAGTTTGACACCGCACATGCAAATCCTACGCAATGGACCCTTTATGCTGGCCACGCTGGCTCTTCCGAAGCCGTTGGCAGCCTGTCCTTTGGTGACTTTGTAGAGTTGGTCGTTGAAATCGCTGAGCTGTGCCACTGCACCCATCAAGTCTTTCCTTACCTCGTGACTTGACGTCCCAGGCAATATGCCACATGGCCTCTTGGATGGTGGGATGCTCCAAGCATGACATATCATGACATTTAGGGGCACCCGGTCCAGAGCATGCACAAACACAATGAGTAAGGAGAGCCCACGTTTCTGACCGAGCGTCCTCATGAAGTAGGGCGGCTGCACGGCGCGGTAGCCGCCTAAAATCAAGTAAACAAGCGATGTCTCTGTACGTGACACCTAGGAAGCACGTGTGAAGCTCCTCCTGGGAGAAATGCATTAGTGTCTATCCCCCACTCCACGTCTTCTTTCGACATACGAAGCAAATCACCGGTTCTGTCGGGGCGCTCACCTCTGATGACTCGCAAATGACTGCAACAGAAGGTGGGTGCATGTTGCTTCACTGCCAGAATTCGACAAGTGCTCGAAGAGTCATTTACAGGACGTAGCATAAATATGTTGTATTTTAGCTTGTCTTTCAGATCAGACTCTTGGCTCGCAAACAACCGGACTGTCATTCACGCAGACGCAAGAGTTGACCATCATCAAGTGCAGGCAAAAATAACGCTCCACCAAAAGAACATCTACCCGGAGCAAGCAGCGCTTGCGAAGGAAGGCAAGGCCGAAGTTCAAAATGGCTTGGTTCAGGATCACGCCTGCACTGGCGGTCCAGGCATCCCATGGTCGTACAAATCCCCAAAAGTTGACTCAACACCAAACAAATTGCAAGCGACAATCCGGCCTGCGTCTTCCAGGAAGTACCCACGGCTTCCTGGCATCGGTCCAGCTGCGGGAAGCGGTAGTTAGTGGCTGGTTGGCGTCCGCTTGTTCATCTGAGAAAGTTTAAAGGACGGCTGGCAACCTTTGTAAAGCCACACATGCCTTCAATGTCAGCTACAATGACGTCGCTCGGCTCAAGGCTGGAAGCCAAGCAGGGAACGGGTGCCATGACATTCGCTCACCCTGCCACCATATAAAAACATATTTTTGCTACTCGTGCTTTGAAACCATGGTTTAGGTGGCGTAGGTGAGTTTAGGATGGATTTAAGCTTGGGAGTTCGGTTGCTTAGTTCGGGGTGTAGAGTGGGTTTAGGGCGAGTTTTCGGTGAATTTGTGGTTAAGGTTAATATAACTTGGGCTTGGTTTCGTGGGTTTAGAGTTTGAGGCTGGTATGTGTGTGTGTGTGTGGCATGTCACAGAAGCAACTGACACAGAAGCCTCAAGCCACACGCCGCATTGTTTGTTGCAAAAGGAAAGCAAAACCTGCCAAAAGCACTCAAAAAGGCTAGGAGGCATAGCATCTCCAAAACAAGCAACTTCCAGCGGCGGATATGGAACTGTGAGACTCACGGCAGTCATGCTTGGAAGGTGAACTCAAGGCACCACTGGAAGTCTTTCAGCGCAGCGCACCGAAGTGCCGTTGAAACACCTGCAAGGTGGGCGCAATTGGGGACCCCGTTGATTATCCACCTTGGGGAGTCCGTGAAGTGGCGCTGTTGTCGTGATGCGGTCCTGCCACCTTGGCACCTCGCTCCGGATTGTAGCCACCAATGCCTCAGGTTTCGAAGGCGCCCACGAAAAGGCCCTCAAACGGCTAGTGCCCGGATTCGACTGTACTTGCGACGACTTTCGGCCTTCTGCGTCTTGAAGCTATCCTAGAAACACAACTATGTGGCCTTAATGTGGGGGGCGCCCCGAGCCAGCCCCAGTTGCGCAAGACACACGAACACACAGGCGCACGCAAGCGGACGCACGTGCTCTTCGGCATATATATATATATATATATCCGCCGACATTGCTCGGCGTGTCGGATACCAAAGAGAGGACTATTGGGTACCTAAGAGAGGATAGAGGATAACACCCCCCTTAGTCCCCCCCCGGGACACGTCAAATACGCATGGTTTTTCGGTCGCCACCCCCCCCCCCTCCCCCTCCTACCGCGCGGCAATTTGATGACGTTCCACTAAACGTAGTCTTCGGGGAGCCGGTGTCGCAAAACAGGGGTCCCAGGCTCGATTCCCCCTGCCGGCTTTTTTGCTGGCTTGGGCTTCCTACATCCTTTTGCCAAAAATCTGGAAAACTCCATGTTTTTGGACGTCTTTCATACATTCATCCATTGCATACATTACATACATTACATACATACATACATTACATTACATTACATACATACATACATACATACATACATACATACATACATACATACATACATACATACATACATACATACATACATACATACATACATACATACATACATACATACATACATACATACATACATACATACATACATTACATACATACATACATACATACATACATACATACATACATACATACATACATACATACATACATACATACATACATACATACATACATACATACATACATACATACATACATACATACATACATACATACATACATACATACATACATACATACATACATACATACATACATACATACATACATACATACATACATACATACATACATACATACATACATACATACATACATACATACATACATACATACATACATACATACATACATACATACATACATACATACATACATACATACATACATACATACATACACATACATACATACATACATACATACATACATACATACATATACATACATACATACATACATACATACATACATACATACATACATACATACATACATACATACATACATACATACATACATACATACATACATACATACATACATACATACATACATACATACATACATACATACATACATACATACATACATACATACATACATACATACATACATACATACATACATACATACATACATACATACATACATACATACATACATACATACATACATACATACATACATTACATTACATTACATACATACATTACATTACATTACATACATACATACATACATACATACACACATACACATACATACATACATACATACATACATACATACATACATACAGACAGACAGACAGACAGACAGACAGACAGACAGACAGACAGACAGACAGACATACACATATGTATATATATATATATGCATACATACATACCAGAGAGGGAGACTGGGCATGGAGAGGCTTGGGGGGATGGGGAGGATGGGGAGCAGAGGGAGGGAGAGAGGACGACAGAACACACAAACAAGACAAGGGAGAGAGGCAGAAGGAGAAAAGGCAGAGGACAATGTCGGCGGACTGAGCCGGAGGCTCTAAAGTGTATATCTCTATACAAAAATATGTATATATATATATATATACATATGGCTGTGTGCATGTAGACACTCGTACGGGCAAGCACCCACACAAACTCACACACAAACACACAAACACACAGACACTCACACACGCACACACACACACACACACTTGAACTCCAAATGGAGAGTGCTAATCTTTCGAGTACAACTGATGAGTCTCGAGTACAACTGATGAGTCTCGAGTACAACTGATGAGTTTCGAGTAGGATCGACTTGCAATCACTTGGCTTCCATTTAGCAACGAACACGTTACCCGAAAGAACAAGAAGCACAAACAGCGCCGCAACCAAGGGCCAAAAGGACATTCAGAATCACTTGCAGGTACAGGAGTTTGCGTCCAAACTCCCTTCCGGCTCATTCTCACAGCTTCGTTGGCACGGCTAGAGAATGAGCTGCCGTGCCCCCTGCCTCCGAAAACAACCCAAGGTGGTGACAGGGTATTCTGTCACTCCGCACACACACGCCCCTCAATGAGGGGCGAGGAGTCTTCTTTTCTTTTCGGCCGGAAGATCACATGCTCCACTTCGTGTTCCTATCGTTGACCAAAATATCCACCGCGGCGAGGGGAACGCGAAACAGCCCTAAACCGCTCAGAAGACGGGAACGAGAGATCACCACGATGAGCATTGCGAGTGTCGCCATAGAGGACTGAAGCAAGTTGCGAAACAGTCGAGCGATCACCGTCAGAAATAGGAGTGGCATAGGTGAACGTTTCCTCAACAGGAATGGCGTCGGAATTCCGAACATCTCCAAGTGATTGATCATGGGCATGTTGTGTAGTGAAGGACTCACTTCGAGACAGAATGCGTTGGTATCCTTGATGATGCCAGTCACGAATGGTCCATGCCTGACCGTGTTCACCAGCACGCCCACTAGGATCAGTTACCCGCTGCCACTCCCGAAAAGAATTGTCTGGTAGATCAGGTACAGTATCTCCGTGGTGCCACCGTTGAGGTTGTCCTGGGGTATATATCCGCACCCACTCCTGATCTTGCCAGACCGAGTACTCGAGCCATGGGTGAAGCTTCGCATCCTCGATGTCCATGACGAAGTAAGAGGCAGGGCGTATCGCGGGTTCAGATCCAGCTAGTAAAGAAACAGGCACCATGCACAACCATGCACAAGCATCAACCAAGCAAGGTAGTGCAAGTATGAAAACCACTCCCTTTTTGTAGTCTGCCCAACACGCGTGAGTCTAGTCATCATTTAGCTCGAAGATAGGTTTGACCTTCGCGGTGGTGCTCCCTGATGGATTCACAGGCCGGTATGGGTCAGAGACCCCAACAGTCTCCGGTGGTGCAATTCCACAAGATGCACGTACTGGTTGGTGTGGGTGGGAAGCATGACGTGCGCGATCTGACAGTTGTTGAGAGATCCCCTCATGGAGACGAGTCAGATCTTCAGTGGAGAAAGCCGCCGCATCCGAGGATCTAAGAATCGCTTCCAACATCTGCGGTGACATACTCAATGCCGCGGATTGCGTGGCAACGTTGTGGTGATCAGGAAAAGACATCGAATCAAAGTCATGACCAGCTTGAGGGGCAGCGACTCTCCGATAGCCCTCCGTAGCCCAGTCTCTTTTGTACCACATGCTGTCATTGGGCTGCGCACCGTCTTGATCCGGATTTGGGACAAAGAACTCCTTCCACTCTCTGTATGTGTGAGGCGGAGGTGGAGCATCATCTTCCTCATGTGGGGTCCATGATCCCGGCTGAAAGATTTGGACCCACTGGTCATCTGGTTGTTGAGGATCCGGACACCATTCCAGCCACGGCATGACAATTCAAACCCGGGAGGACAAATTGATAGGTGTACGGCTGCGGACAACAACCACTGCAAGAGACACAACAACAACCACGCAAGCAATCACTTTTGCAGCAATGCACGGCTCAGTTGTTGAAGTCCATCTCCTGAATCGAATTGAATTGAATAGACTCCCCAGGAAGACGAAGACGAGCATCAGCCACCATCTGAGTTTGAAGATGCTGATGAAGAGGTCAGTCCAGCGTACATGAGGTCCGGTGAACCCGAAGCGAAAACTGGACGCGCAATGCTGGGGTGTGGACGATGCAGCCGTTGATATCCTCTGGTGACCCAGTCCCGATACTGCCAAGTATAGAAGGATGCATAAGAGACCGGCTGAGCAACAGCACCCATATTGGTGCCGCCCGTGCTCTCCCTTGGCCAATACACTTCGAAGTGGTATACTTTGCGCCACTCCCGATAGGTGTTTGAGTCCTGCGGGGCTGGCCCCAAGGTGTTTTCGGCGACTGGATGCCACGGACCCGGTACATAGATCCGAATCCACTCAACCTCCGTGTTCGCGGGTCCATTGACGATGTCGTAGTCAAAGTAGTGTGGCAGGACCCATCGTGCAGCGCCATACATTGTAGAATTGAACATATCAACCAGGCAAGCCGCTTGAAGTCATAAAGGAAAGTGGCGAACACATGGAAACGGAACGCACAACACAAGGCAAGACAACCCAACACGGAATCACACTCAACGTAGGAACAACCGCGTCATTTTATCCGACATGCTGCCAAAGTATCACTCCGAATCATTCCAAGGGTCATAGAATGGTGGCGGTGAAGGTTCCCGCCACGCCCCATCCGGAACAGATGAGTCCACCGAGGAATTGGCGTCCGCATCCACGAGCGTCGCTGATCCAATGGCTGTTACAGGAGCTCCAAGACGTTGATACCCTCGTGTTTGCCAGTCGCGGTACTCCCAGACGTGGTAGGACACATACGAACTGGGCGTGATGACGGGGTCCACTGTTGTTCCTCCGGTGCTGTCTTCTGGCCAGTACACTTGGAAACGAGATGACCTGCGCCACTCCGATACGTGGAAGCGTAGATTGGGGGTTGCACTATAGCATCATTGGGAACGTGCCCGGTGAGTAAATCCGAATCCATTCCACTCCTCTCACAATCTGGTACTCGAAAAAGTGGGGATTCATAGCGGCAAGACAGGTTGTGGCTGAACGCACTCGAAAATCTGCGGCGAAGACACTAAAGCAAGGACAACCACACACAGCAAGAGTGATAACCGAGGCAATGCAAGGCAACTTTTCAAACTGAAAGTGAGACACAGCAGCGAGGTTTGTAATATACGACACCTATGCTTCACCGCCGCTGATGCCGTACACACCTGCAATGATAATGTCCTGGTCGTCTACGAGCACATGGAGACAGACATTTCCGACCATGACGTAGGAAGGCATGACAGTAGTGCTTGCAATT